CTGGCTCCGCAGTAGTTCCTTCGCCCGTTCTATTCTTATTAAGCGTTGCCCATTGCTATCTCCAGTGTAGTCGTGTACTCGTGTACTCGCCTTGCTCATTCTCCATTGCTTCCTCTCGCTTCCTCTCGCGCACTCTACTAACTGGCTGGACACGAACTTGCCACCGGCGCCTGAAGACCGAACGACCTCACCTGGCCGGATCTGGAATCCCACGCGCACATCGTCACCCTCGGGTCTCACAGCAGAACCTCCATTCCGCCCCTCCTTCGCGTATACGCACATCTGCTTCACACAAGTCTCGCGGCTGCTTGCATTCCCTCCTGGTCATTGCTGCTGCCGGCTGGCTGGCTGCATCTGCCTTGTGAGGCTGGCTGCCTGTCCATTTCGTCCCATCCCATCCCATCGCATATATTGGCTTCTGTCACATATCAGGCCCTGGTTGGTCTTTTGCCGACTTTGTTGGTCGGCTGGTGCCTATAGTGGTGCTTTGAGTATTAAAAGTAGAAGCCCGCGCCTCCTCGGACGACTAAACAACACAACACCCCACCAGATATCCATCCCTATGCAGATTCTGCCGTGTGTCCGCGTCCAGGATCTCCCGCCCGCCGCATCTTTCTACTCGGCGGTAACGCAACCGCTCGGACTACGCTACCTCTCGGCCAACAGCTCGTCGATAGTCTTCGGCGACAAGACCGGCGTCCCAGAGCCTATCTTCGAGGTGAGGACCAGTGGCCAGCCTGTGCGACCCTCGCGCATTGTACTCTCGGCGTCGTCACCCTCCGTGGTATCCGCCTTTTGGGCCGCAGCGTTACGCGCCCACCCCGACCTGCACGCTGACGGCAGCTGCGGGCTGATCGACGGCAGTGGAGCTCCTGGTAGTGGCGAGACCCGCGCGCGCATCACCGACCTCGAGGGCAATATAATGGAGGTCGTCTATGTCAACCCGCCCGACTATCCCCCCAACTACACCGGATCAACGGTGCGCAAGACTCAATCCACCTCCCACGAGGTCACACGTATCCTGGACTGGAATCTCGACGTCGCGACTACCGCCGGCGTACACTCCCTCCTTCCGTCCCGTGCCGAGCAGCCCATCTCGGTAGTGAAGCGCACCATCACCTCGTCCACCATCGAGACCCCGGTTCTTCCGCCGTCCCAGGAAGAAACACCCAGCGGCTACAGCACCGGAGTCGTCGTCGGGTCAATCCTCGGAGGTCTTGCTGCCGGCGCAGCCATCGGGGGCGTGGCCACCTACGCCATGATGCGGGCCGACCGAGAGAGAGCTCCGAAGCAGGAGTACGATAGCATGCCGTCCTTCCAACGCCGCGCCACTTTTCCGGACCCCTACCCGGACCATCGACCCAGCTATGTCGAGGTCGAACGCACCGTCGAACGCATTCACTACCCACCTTCAGCCTCACGGAAGTATCCCCCGTCTGCCACGCCCAGCTTTGTGGCCAGGTACTCGCAAGCCCCGCCGAGCCGCGTCGCCACGACCGAGGATACAGCCGATGAAGACCACCGCAGCCACCACACCATGAGGAGCCGCTCCCGCCGCCGGAGCGAGACCGGATCTACTCGCCGGCCGCTCATGCTGACAGAGCACGAGCACCGCAGCAGTTCCGGTTCTTCCAAATCGCAAGGCGGCCCCAAGCTACTTATGGATGCGGATCACACCGGCCGCAGCCACGCAGGATCGCGCCACACGGCCAACGTGAGCCGGATGTACTCAGAAATGGGGGATGAGTACTCGGAAGCGTCGCGGCAATCGTCCGCCACTGTGAAGTACGGCAGCGGCGAGATTCGCGAGGGAAGGAGCCGTGCGAACAGCAAGCACTCGTCCCGTCACCACCGAGAACCCGAGAACGAGACCTACCTCTCGGCGCGCAGCGACCGCACTGTGCGTGCGAACCCGGCGGGCGTGACGCCTATACCCGGCGCGACCGTCCTGGCGACGGCGAAAGCGCCACCGCGATCGCGGTCGAGGACGAGTCGACACGTTTCTGGCTCCGGGTCCACGGCTACGGCGCTGAAAGGCCCGAGTCGGGCCCAGAGCTATGCGAGTGCGCGAAGAGTGCCCCTCCCCGGCAGCGAGATTGGAGGCGTGAGTAAGCCGAAATTCGGGGTCGATGTCGATGCGGACGAGGTTCTGAACGATGATGAGGGAAGTGTGGCGCCGAGTGACAGCATCTCCTGTGTTGGGAGGAAACAGAGTCGGAGATCAAGACATTGAGAGAGGAGGCAATACGATCGACAGAACCCCCCCTTTAGCGGAGACCGCGGTCAAACAGAACGTAAGACTTTTAATGAGGCATGATCTTGGGTGTGAACGAGCGTTATGAATCATCTGGATTTTCGGGTTTCCAAGTTTTTCTCTTCTTTCGGTTTCACGTGCGCAAGACGGGCAGTTTTCCTTTTTTTTTTCGCAGAGCGATCTGCCGCATTGCATGGACAGACAGGACGAGAGGAGAAGAAGAACGCCACTTCGTCATTATGTCTTGTCTGTTTTTATCGTTTCCCTGGTATCTGGTTAGCGTATACATACATATAGTTTCCATATACTCGGTATACTCAACAGGTCATCAAATACGGCATATACACCCAGTCATCCCAGTAGTAGTCGTAATAGTCCCAAGAGTAGTCCCAGTAGGACCAAGGCGCCATCCGGCGTTGAGGGTACATGGGGTACCAACCATCCCAGCGAGGGTAGCCCCTCCAGTAAGGGCCGCGATCGTAGGCCCTGGGACGGTTGCAGGTCTTTCTGAACCGACAGTGCATTTTGCTCGTGCTTGATGTGGTTCGTAGGTTGCTGAGTCTTGAGGTGTGGCTGGGGCCGGGCTCTCTCGCTCAAGGGCAAGGCAGACGCTTACTCAAAATAACAGCGAGAGATCTAGGAATATATAGCAATTTCCCCGAACGAAGGACAATTGGATCCCTACAGCAGGTAATGAACACGCCATGTTTGCTTTGATACGCTCAGGTGAGGCTGCTCGTACTCCTGTGCCTGTGCCCTGACGATATGGTTTCGTCATACCACGGCGCTGGGCACACGAGGGACACCCTTGCGAAGCGACGCCCTGCTCGAGGCTGCATTTAGCTACCTACCTAGGTAGTAGACAGAAGATACAGGGCGCCATGTTGTCCTTGTACGTCTGGCAAACACATCTGGCTGAGCCTTGGTTTCGTGGCTGTGGCCCCCATTGTTTGGTCTGCTGACGGTGGATTGTGCTACGAGAAGAAGAAGAAGGAGGCTCTGAAGACGGAAATGCCCCTTTCAAACTGTCTGGTGAAGTTTGCTTCTCTTGCAGGACTCAGTCAAGCTGCCGTTTGTATCATTTAAACCTCGATGACTGATGCATCTCGTCATTACCGTCAGACAGCTGACGATCTAGTGGTACTGGGAAAGTCTCACTTTCTCCCATCCAACAGAGGCAGAACGAGGCCAACCAAGGAAGCAAATTTGGGAGATGGTCTAGTAACACATGAGTTGGGTGACAGAGTAAGTTGCAGTGGTGTGTAGCCAGTAGCGGACTGAGCGACCCTTATCGATGAAGCCAGGTGATGACCACTCGCACAAGCTCTCGAATCACCACCTGCATACTTAAGCATTACCCCGTGTTACCTTGTCACGGTGACTTCAAACATCAGAAACCCGGCGCACCGCCCCACCGCCCACCGCGCCGCCTCTCACCTCCGTGCGCACCGTCGACGCGCCGAACCAGTTCTCCGCGTACGCGACGCCGTCGGGGAAGAAGGGTACCCAGCGGACCCCCGAGCCGTCGTTGGCCTTGCCCCCGTCGCGGTAGTGCAGTGGCGAGGGGAAGTAGTCCTCGGCCCGGCGCCCCAGCAGTGGTGCGTCGCGCGGGTCAGGTATCCCATCGTGGCCTACGAACGCGGGACGAGGCGGACATCTACGTGCCGGGGGCGAGGCGCAGCATGGACAGGAGGCAGACGGTCTGCAAGCGGAGGCAGACGGTCTGCAGGCGGAGACGGGGTGCGAATGTGGTACAGGGCGGCTTGCGATGCAATGACTGCCTCTGCCATCTCTGTTCGATAAACTACGTCAATCGCTAAGCAAACAGCATCATCATCATCATCATCACCTCGAGTTGGGGTAGAGTGAGTGACTTACATCGACATGGAAAGCCAGCGCGCTGGCCCTCGACTACACCCACAGACGGGCGACGTGCTGGGTAGAGGGGACGTCGCGGCGATGCAGCCATTCAGGTTCGTGATCTGGATGCAATGCGCACCGCAGGCAGAGCGGTCGCTGCATACGTGCTCGTGGTGGTAGCCTTCACAAGACATCGGGGACATAAAGAATGACGGTGGTGGCCGTATCATACCGCCGTACGCGTCGGTTGGCGGATGATGGATGGTCTTGGTTATTATATCTGTCAGTCATTCCGTCGAACGGCACGGGCAAGTGCTGTACGAGCAAACTCATAGACACGGGGCGTGTATTCGCAAAGGTAGTAGGTGTGATGCATCGGCTCTGAAATACAAACAAGTGCCCTTTACTTCCCAATCAAGAAGTGTCACTTGGTGTCCATCATATCCCGTCCGGTCGCACTCGAGAGGGAGTCAGGTAGGTTCTCAGCCCAGAGGTCAGCTACAGTGAGTGTTTGCTGGGCTTTGAAATCTGCCAACGATGCGCTGGCCGTCTTACAGAGCTAGGCCACTGGAGAAACGGAATCGGTATGTATGTCTGCTGTTGTTCACGGCTATCGCGGTGTCATCAAGACTGTGCAACTGAACGATGAATTCACAGACCAGCTTGAAGGGTGGGTGAGTGGGACGAGAGACATGTGGTCCCGTCCTCGGGCCATCAGCAGCCCCCATCCACCCTCCAAGCCTCAAGACAGCTTGACTGGAGCCCTCCAAGCCAGGCTACCAGTCCCACTGCAAGGTTTGCTCCCCACCGCACCACCACCTGAATTGGAGTCTGGAGGGCCCGCTACGTATCCTTTATAACTTGACAGTTTTGGTCTTGTTTTCAAGGTGCTTTGGCGGAGTGGTTAACGCGATGCCCTGCTATTAGCGAAGATCTGAATCTACTCAGATTAGCTAAAGCCAGGCATTTCCTTCGGGAGCGCAGGTTCGAATCCTGCAGGCATCGATCGATCTTTTCTTTTGCATCATTCATCCGTCAACGGATGTCTGTTTGTTTTTATTTTGTCGACTCGTTCGTTCGATGAGATAGATGGAGAGGGATGGTGGTCATTTCAAGCAACTCGTCGCTCTTTCTTTCCTGTCCATGTTCCATTTCTATTTTTAACCTGCGTGTCGGCTCGACCCGGTCGGCACCTAATGCAAAATCCTTCGCTCTTTCGCTTCTGATGCTTGCATGCCCATCAATGTCGCTGCTTCTTCCTGCAATGCAACTGGAATTGGGATGAGGCATGAACGAACCTAACTAACTAAGCCTGCAACCGGATTGCTATGCACCAGAACGTCAAGAAGTAAGGTAAGTATCTTGGTCCTCATGAAAGCTGAATACCTACTGCAAGTGTTGGTTTTTGGGGTGGGTCCCTCGGCACCTCGTTCCCTGCATTTCCCTTTCAGGTGAAGCTATTCCCAAATCTGGTCACACTAAGTTGCTTCATGCTGTCGGTGATACACAACTTAATCTTTCGCGACCATCACCATACATACCAGCTAACCATACCAGCTCACCACACCACGTAGCTAATGTTGGAAAGCTGAATACCCATGGTGCATGGTGACTTGCACGACACGTGTATGGGCATCAGTGTACGGGGAACATACTCGATCTGTTTCTATGCCCTCGAATGCTCAGAAACCGATGCTAATGATCGGTATGGTATCTATCCATTGCATGCATACTGCTTGTTGTGAAATACGCAACGCCAGAACCGCCTCAAACCCTGTCAGCCTTGAACATGCATGCCTGACCTCGTCATCGAATAGCTAGCTACCTAGGCTACCTGAATGAACCCGAACGCCAACCATTTCCAACTCCCTAACCACCCAAGCAAGACTACATGACGCCTCGCTGATTCATATGTGCCTGCTGAAACTGCTTCAACAACGTGACGACGCCCGGCCCCTCTTCCTCCTCGTTCGCCGTGCTCTGTTCCCGGCTCAGTCCACGTTTCGGCGAGCCTTCCCACGTGGACTCGCCCAGACGCGCCACGCTCTCTTCTACCTCGCCGTCATCCGTGTAGGTCGACTTCTGACGCTGCAGTCTGGCGCGCATTGTCCCTCCATCTTCCACAGACTCCTCGATAATGCCCTCGTCACCATGATATGGGCCGCGCTGTGGACGTGTCCGTTGAGGAGTCCGTCCTGCGACAATCGAGGATGACGGCTGGTTATGAACGTCAAGCAACATGGATGCCATGGGAGATGGTGCTACCGCGGGCCCATGTCTCGGCGTCTTGCCAGCGTGTTGTCCACTCGGAAGACGAACTCTGGGTATCTCGCTGCGCCCCATGCGGGATACTCGCATGTCGGCAGCTAATGTCGGTGATGTTAGGCCTGGGAAGGCTGGCGGTGGGTAGAAATGGTGACGTCCAGCTGGTCCTAACGGATGCGCACCGGGAAGCCCGCTCCTGGGATTGTAGACGTAATTGTCCAGGAAGCCATGCATAGAGGCTTGCATCTTTCCGTGCTTCGTGGCATAGTAGTCCTCGCGAGCATCGACAGCCTTTCCTTGCTGGGCACCCGTCGTTCGTGGATCCTTCTGAAAGTTGAACACGGCAAAGGAACACACATACCCGAGACCGTCCACATGGATCGTAAATTCTCGGAAGAAATCCACAATCTGGTCACTGCACTTTGGCAGACTGAAGAAGAGTACCAGAGGAGTACTCAGAACGCCAAGGATCTCCTCCAGGAAGATGATGATTCGTGGCTTGTACAGCTCGGCGAATTCAGTCTTAACATCGTAGCTGTGTAGCCGGCCTTTCCATTGATCAGGTTGGAAATGGGTGAATTCAATCACCCTTTCCATGGCGAACTCGGGATCAAAGACGTCGTTCTCCTCCGATATCATACCGCGAGCCACGGCCCATATGGTTGTCAGGATGGCGGCAAAGGCAAAGGCATTCATGCCGGGGAAGATCTCAAAGTCGACAAACATCTCGGGGTCTTGAAAGCCTACAATGGCAAGAACTGCGATTAGCGCACCGGCAAAGAACTGCACCGTCCTCGCCGCCGATTCCGTTTTCTTCTTGGGAAACTGGTCAATGTAATGCTTGGCGAAGGGGTACGACATGTTCAAGCGTTCCTCAAACAGATGAGGAAGCTCATTGAACTCTCGAAACTTCCATCTCGCCAGCGGGGTATATTGTCTGGCTCCGATGGAGGACGTGTTCGTTTTGAATTCCTGTAGGCGGATATTAGTCCTGCAATTCGGGAGCTGAAGGAAGGCGAAGGGGGAGGGGGAGCAACTTGCATTGTAGTACGTAAAGATAAAGTCGACAAGAAGACCGCAGGCGACGAATGGGGCAAAGATGAGATTCATAAAGGCGGCAAAGGCAAACCTCGTCTTCATCTCCCTGCTGAGCTGGCCACGATGATCAGACTTCAAAACGCGCTGATGCACTTGGCCACTCTCATTAAAAATAAGATCCAAGACGCCGAATTGCACGGTCCACTCGAGGGATTTCGAGAACAATTGCCGTCGTCGAAGAAAGGGGACCGGGGCGGTCAGATCTAATGTGTCCTTGTTGAAGAGTGCGATGATGTAGTTCTCACGTCTCATCAGTCGGTTCGCAATGTCGTGGGCGTCAAGTCTCTCTTTGGATTGACTGGCGACATGTCGGCCCAGCTGTTTGGAAATGAACTTGCGTTGGGACGGGGTGATGTTGGTGGCCGTTTTGACGTTCTGGTCGCGCAGACTCGTAATCTTGGAGACAACGTCCTGCCAGGATACCGTCTGCATGTCCTCCTCTGGGATTTCGAGCAGGTAGATGTAGAAATCGCGGATGTGCAGCAGCCGTGGGACATCCAGCACCCACTGAATGGACTTCCAGACAAAATAGAAGCTGCATAGCCAGAGACTCAGGTTCCATAACCCCCACATATGCTTAGTACACTGCGGAATCATGATTTGGGACAGGTTCTTGCTGTCCCTTAGCTTGCCGTAATCTATACACTGACTGAGCAGAGTGAGAAGACTAGCCACGAAGACAACCTTGCTGCAGATGTGGATTAGCTCATGTTGCTCCGCGAAAGGGATAACCGAGGATGGATGAATGTCCGTCCGTCCGTCGACTTACAGTAGGTGTAAAAGACGCTCCAGCAAGATGCACCATATACCTGCGCCCAGGTAGTAGTCGTAAACATCGCGGATGAAGACGTCCAGGTTGGAGACGTTAGCCCATCTGAACATGGCCTTCTCCCGCGCATTTCCAGCCAGACCGGGCCTCCTAAGGGGAAGGCCGGCTTGGGCCCCTTGTACATGGCCGTACGGCTCATCGGGATGTAGTTGTTGGCGTGCTTGTGCAGTCTCCCACTGCGCCTGTCTCCGGGTATTGGAAGGACCAGCTACAGTCGGCTGGCGTAGTGACTGAGGGCCCGACTGAGGGCCCGACTTCGGAGTTCGCGATTTGGCGGTCGGAGAGGGAGGGCCCTCTACTAGGAGGGAGGCAGGAACGTCATTGTCTTCATGGTCTCCATCGTCTTCGGCTGCTAGCCACCTGGCGTTCGCTTCGCGTATTGGGCGGCGAGAAGCATCGCCACGCGGGGCTCTTGTTGTAGTGACAGGGCTTCTGGTGGACAGGCGACTGTCATCGAGGCCGAGGCCTTCGGCGTGGTCGAGGTCGTCATCGTGGAAGTTATGGGCCAGGTTCTCCTCATCTACATCCAAGCCCGCTCTACTCTCGATATCTTGATCGTCTCGCAGCTGTTCGTAAAAGGGTCTGTCGTCGGCCCCGGGAACCAAACGCGAGAAGAGGTTGGGTGGCATGTTGTCGGTTGAAACGGTGAGTGGTGGCGACGCGGCCTATCAGCGGCTGGTGGACTATCGCATTCAGGGCTCGGTGCGAGTCATGATCGAAAAAGGGAGAAGCGCAGTCAGGGACGAGGAACGTGGCACGCTGAGGGACTGGCAGGTTGAGTAATGTCTATAAGGTGTATAGGTATTCGTTGGCTGGATGTCACAGGTAGGGAGAAAGCGGAACGCTATCGCTATTGTTGCCTGGAAGTATGAGCCAAGCGAGTCAAGAACGGAAGGATCTGGCTACTGCTTCGGCCTTGCCAGTAGGAAGAAGGTAGGACTACTGTCTTCTGGCAATGATGGAAACGGTCCACGTCGTGTGATCTTGGTAGTCTAGCAGGTGGCCATCCAGGGATCCAGATACGATCATCTGAACTGGAGCTTGCGCGGGACGAATGACATGGACAGAGGAGACAGAAGCTCCCGCATCGGCGGCAGCTGGTATGCCAAGCACCTTTCCGGGTCTATCGATAACCTTATCGCTCCGACTCCCCGGTGAAGTCACCAGGCAAGCGAGGCCGCTTATCAGCGGTTGATTGGATCCACAAGTTTCAGGGGTCTAGCATCTGCCATCAGGGTCCTGTAGGTGCCTATCCTTAGCTAAAGTAACCTCCCAACCTCCTCACCCCTTACTGCATGCTCTCTTTTGCTCTACCCTCCCTCAAATGAAGCCAGCTAGCTGTCTGCGGTCTTTCTTAGTCCTTGTGACTATTATGTGACTATTATGTGGAAGCATTGTTCCATACAAACACATTGCTTCAGGCTATAAGGTAACCGCTCAAGTGCTCGTCTCCGCTGGTAGCTCTATCAAGGCGCCACACAACGGACATTTGATAGTTCTGAAGAAGGAATATGCGATCTTCCCATCGGGCAGCCTATGAAGCTGAATTCCTCAACAATCCCTGATTGCGGTGTAGTGAATACCGTTTTTGGCCTTTCCTCAAGCAATTCCCAATGTTGCTCACATGTACGAGTAAGGCGACCGAAAAGAGCCCGAGGAAAGCTACCATGATATTACAATGCGCTTTTCGCAGATGAAAGGGCAAAGATGGCTGGGCTGACAACATGCCACCGCTGAGTCTTGTACCCGAGAGAGATCGCTATGCAGATATCACTGCATACGAAGTCGACTCGCAAGCCAGCTTACCAACTTT